TCCCTCCCCTCCCCTCCCACCCCTGGTAATCAACAAAGAAAATTTCCTCCAATAGATAAACCTTTCCTTAAGTTTTACAGTAACGGACTTATACAATATTTGTCCTTTTGTGACTGACTTATTTCACTCAGCATAATGTCCTCCAAGTTCATCCACGTTATGCGGTGTTTTGCAGTTTCTACATTACAATCTTTTTTTCTTAATGCTGCAATAAACTAAAACCAAACCCACTACCATGGAGTCGATTCAAACTCACAGAGACCCCCATAGGGTTTCCAAGGCTGTAAATCTTTAGAGAAGCAGACTGCCTCATCTTTGTTCTGTGGAGCAGCTGATGGAAACCATTGTTGACCTTTTGGTTAGTAGCCAAATGCCTTCAGAACCACCAGAGCTCCTTTAATGCTGCAGTAGAGGATTATAAATATTTTATGGATTAACCAAAAAAACCAAACTCATTGCCATCAAATCAATTTTGACTCACAGCAAACCCCTCTGGGTTTCTAAGGTAGTAAATCTTTATGGAAGTAGACTGCCCAGTCTTCCTTCCAAGGAGTGGCTGGTGGGTTTGAATCTTCTGGTTAGCAGTCAAGTGCCTTAGGCACTATCCCACCAGAGCTCCTTATTTTATGGATTAGTTTTCTAAGAACTTATTTTTGATTCTTTCCTTTGGATAAAGACCAGAAGTAGAGCTGGTCAAAGAACATGAGATTTTAAGGGTTTTAAATCAAACTGCTAGAATGTACTCCAAAATTATCATACCAGTTGAAACTTTCATTAACCTGGTTCATGAGTGGCTATTTTATTATTCTTTCTCAGTCATTTTAAACCCTCTGCTAGTTTCACGTTAGTATTCTAGTTGTTACAAAATGGGAAAATGATACCTAATTTTATTTTTTGATTACAGTACCATTTGTTTTTTAACCCCATCAGTTTTTTAATCAGCCATTTTCCTCTTTTGTGGTATGTTTTTAAGAAAGAAAACCAAACCAAACACACTGCTATTTAGTCAATTCTGACTCTTAACAACTCCCACGGGGTTTCCAAAGCTCTAAATCTTTACAGAAGCAGACCACTCCCTCTTTGTTCCATGGAGTGGCTGGTGAGTTCAAACCACTGACCTTTTGGTTAGGAGCAAAATGCCTTAATCATTACACCACCAGGGCTACTTCTGTTTTTTAGAAAGTAGCTTCTCACGAATTTCCAACCCCATTTCCATTCTAAAATATCTCAGCATTCAAAATAATAATTCCAAAAGTAAACTAATTTCAAAGGCAATTGTAACTTCCTTTATTGTGACATTTATTCATATATATCCAAAACAAACTCACTGCTGTCGAGCTGGATCCCATTCATACTGATTCCTCCTTGGGTTTCTGAGGCAGTATCACTACGGAAGTAGGTTGCCCAATCTTCCTTCTGAATTCATGCATAGAATCCTATCCTTTAAAAATCCATTACCATGAAGTTGATTTTGACTTTGAGTATTTCTGTGGCCAGAGCAGAACTGTCCCACAAGGTTTCCAAGGCAGTAAATCTTTACAGAAGCAGAATGCCACATCGTTCTCCTACAGAGTGACTGGGGGGTTTGAACCACTGACTTTCTGGTTAGCAGCAACAGCTTAACAACTTTGCCACCATTAGTCCAAGCTACTATTAATCTTTTATGTATCTTCATTTTACAGTGACAGAAAAACCAGTATTTGCCACTTATTCAGGAATTACTTTTTTCTACTGTAGCATACTGAACATTCAAGCCCTATAACATTTCACCCTTTAACAGTTTGCACCTTTCTAGAGGTAGTCATAAGGAGCTCTGGTGGCATAGTGCCTAAGGCATTTGACTGCTAACCAGAAGGTTGGTGGTTCAAACCTACCAGCCACTCCGTGGAATGAAGACTGGGCAATCTACTTCTGTAACGATTTACTGCCTTGGAAATCCAAAGGGGGTTGCTATGAGTCGAGTTTGACTTGATAGCAGTGAATCTGAGAGACAGTCAACTATTAAAGTTAAAATATATTACTTCTCAGACTTGTAGAATCAGCCACATGAGATAATTCCAATTATTCAGTGAATTGTGACATTTTAAAACCTTTTTTTTTCAAATTTGTTAAAAAGTAACATCAAACTACGTCGCTATGAGTCGGGTTTGACTCGATGGCACATAACAACAACAACAACAACTATAAAAATACTTAATTGGATAGCCAAGCCAAATATAAAAGTAAATAAACCAAAACCATATTACATTTAGTTGCTTGGAAGAATGTAACACAAATTGATTATGTCCTTACCTTTCTCAGTTTTTCTGGAGAAAATTCTAAGCCAACAAGAAAAAGAGTAAAGAACACACCAAATTCTCCTAATGTCTCCACTTGTACAATAGACTGAAAAACAAGAATTTAAAATCATATGTTTAACATATTAAGTGTACTTAACAGAATAATCATGTACTGATATGCTCAAGAAGCCTAGCTCAATAAAAGTAGTGATTTTTAAGAAACAAATTCTTTGAATTTCCACTAGACCCAAGATAATTTTCACCTTGTAATTACAATGCTTCCTTTTTTTCTCCATTAACTAGAGGAATATATAGTTTATCTCCTAAGAACTAGCTTATGGATTCACCTATTTTCATATTCATTAATTCCTGCTTTTCCCTTCAGTCTTCAGCTTTCTTTAGGGGAGGGGGAGAAGGAATTATGCAGGTATAATAATCTGAGAAGCTGACCACATGAAGAACACAGCACTAGGATCAGGAAAAAACCTCATTAACAACCCTGTGATATGCAGATGACACAACCTTGCTTGCTCAAAGTAAAAGAGAGTTGAAGCACTTACTGATGAAGATCTAAAACTATAGTTTTCAGCATGGCTTACACCTGAATATAAAGAAAACAAAAATCTTCACAACTGGACCAATAAGCAACTACATGATAAACACTGCTTAAATAATCATGAAAAGACTGAAGTTGTCAAGAATTTAATTTTACTTGGATCCACAATCAACACCCATGGAAACAGCAGTCCAGAAATCAAATGGTAAGTAGCATTGGGCAAATCTGCTGCAAAAGACCTCTTTAAAATGTTAAAAAGCAAAGATGTCATTTTGAGGAGGAAGGTGAGCCTGATCTAAGTCATGGTATTTTCAATCACCTCATATACATATGAGAGCTGGATAATGAGTAAGGAAGATCAAAGAAGAATTGATGCCTTTAATTAGGATGTTGGTGATGAATACTGGATATACCATGGAGTGCCAGAAGGAGGAGCAGATCTGTCATGGAAGAAGTACAACCAGAATGTTTCTGATATGCAAGGATGGTAAGACTTTTGTCTCATGTACTTCAGACATATTATCAAGAGGGACCAGTACGTGGAATGACATCATGCTCAGACAAGTAGAGGATTAACAAAAAAGAGGAAGATCCTCCATGAGATAGACTGGCACAGTGGCTACAACTATAGGCTCAAGCACAGCAACAATTGTGACGATGGTGCAAGACTGGGCAGTATATCATTCTGTTGTAAACAGAGTGGCTGTAAGTTGGAATGGACTCAGTGGGACCTAGCAATAACAACATACATGTATGTATACAGGCATATGTATAAGTACGTACACACACAAGTATATCCATATGTATGTACATCTCTGTGGCTGCATGCACATATATTCATATATATAATAAAGTACATGGGGCACTTCTTAGATACAGCCAAACACCTTGCAGGGTTAGATTTCTGGGTTTGAAGGATTAAGATCATAGTCTTGGGGACATCTCAGTCAACTGGCATAAAAGTGTTCAAAAGTTATGCTCCACATCCTAGTTAGGTGAGTACTGTCTAGGGTCTTAAAAGCCTGCAAGTGGCCATTTAAGGCACAATTATAGGTCTCTACCCCTCTGCAGCAAAAGAGAAAGAAGGAAGGCAAAGCCTCAAAGAAGAAACTAGTCTACGGAACAAACAGTCTACATGAACCATGGCTTCATCTAACCTGAGACCAGAAAAACTAGATGGTGCCCAGCTACCAGTTCCACTGCTTTAATTAGGGCCATAATAGATGGATAGAATGGGAGTAAAATGAGGAAGAGAACCTCAAATGCCTCCTCCTCCCTCAAAAAAATAAAAAATAAAAAAATCCCAGACCTACTGGACTGGTTAAGACTAGAGGACTCTCCAAGACCAATGCCCTGAGATACTCTTCAACTCTTGAACCAAAACTAACCCTTGAGGTCACCTTCTAATTAAACAACAAATTGGCTCAAAATATAATGAGTATCACAGGTAAAAACTATGCTCCTTTACAAAATCAACTACATGACACCAAACAGTCGATAATTACTTTAAAGCAAAGATGAGAATACAAGGAGGCAGGAAAATTAGATTAATGAAAACAGAACAACCAGAATGAAAATAATGAGAATATTCACACATGGTGTGAAGAACATAACCATAATAACCAATGTCATGAACAACTTGTTTAGAAATTGTTTAACGGGAACCTAAACCGCTACATAAACCTAAAACAAAAACATAATAAAATATTATTAAAAAAAAGGAACAAGGTTATTTTCGCTAGTCAAGTCACCCATTTCATTAACAAAACAAAATGACTTTCTTATGGTTTAGAGAATATTTCCAATGAAATTTTAAAGGACATCTTCTTTAACATGGTTCAACAGAAACTGGTATCTTTATTCAAGTTCAAAACTTATTACTCCTCATGAATGTTTCTTTAACATTCTATTCAACACAGAGATACACAGAGTTAAATTTTGTTCTTCTTACCTTAATACTGTTTAATCCTGATGGTCCAAGAAGTACACCACAAATAATATAACCAAACATTGTAGGCAATCCTATTGTTGTGCATAACCAACCACAAGGTAAAGACAACATTCCTATGGTAACAATGTCCTGATGTAAGAAAAAAATAAATAAGAAAAACAAGAAATTTAAAGTAATAATTGGCTCTACTCTGTGCAAGAAAAGGGTGAGTTAATTGAATAAGCACAACAAGATAGTATCCTTAATTTATTTAATGAGAATGAAGGGTAGATGATGAAATGAAGGATTTTTTGTATTACTGTGTATTTCTGAAAAGATGAAAGCATTAAGAATGTATTCTGAGAGTAAATGAAGTCAGTTCTTGATGGTCTAACAATTTTTATAGTAAAATTTGTCTATTTTGTTTACACTCCATAAGAGTGTTAGAAGAATTCTGAATATGAGAATTCCAATGATTTATCTAGCCTGGGTCCTCTAGTTGTGTCCTAAGTATAACTCATGTACATTCACTATTGGTTTTCTTACCATACAAAATCAATATAACCATCAAAGTCATAATTGTTGCAGGTAAGAATCATCAAGGGATTCCAGAACTATTGGGTGAAAGTTTGATGAGGAATAGGATACATACATAGTTTCAAGTATTTTCCCAAAAAATTTCTTTTTAATTACAAACAGAAAAAAAGAATAACTTTACATTGGAGACTCCCCACTTCACTGAGGGTACTAATTAATGTCTTGAACCTACACTCAGCCCCTCTTAGTTCTCATACCAATCATAATCAAAAAGGTAATACATTTGTTGACTTTTATCTATTGATTCAATTTCATCAATATATGTTCAACATCTGGTATGTGACTCTGTATTCCTTCCATTTACTTCATAAGGTTTTCCCTGGCCAATTCTTTGAGAAGTGGATGGCCTCTTCCTTCTTCATAGTCTGTCTCAGTCTGCAAGCTGCGCTGAAACCTGTGCACCATGTGCAACCTCACTGGGTTTGAAACACCAGTGGCACAGCCTCCAGCCTCACAGCAACATGCCACCACAGTAGGACAAACCAACAGACAAGTAGGTCTCCCTTAGCTGAAGATGGAAGATGGAAGGAATACACAGAGTCACTGTACCAAAAAGAACTGGTTGATCTTCATCCATTTCAGGAGGTGGCATATGTTCAAGAGCCAGTGGTATTGAAGGAAGAAGTCAAAGCTGCACTGAAGGAATTGGCAAAAAACAAGGCTCCAGGAATTGATGGAATACCCACTGAGATGTTTCAACAAATGGATGCCCCACTGGAGGCACTCACTCAGTTATGCCAAGAGATCTGGAAGACAGCTACCTGGCCAACTGGCTGGAAGAGATCCTTATCTGTACCCATTCCAGAGAAAGTTGATCCCACAGAATGTGGAAATTATTGAACAATTTCATTAATATCACATGCAAGTAAGATCTTATTGAAGGTAATTCAAAAATGGTTGCAGCAGTATATTGACAGAGAACTTCCAGAGGTGTAAGCTGGATTCAGAAGAGGATGTGGAATGAGGGATATCACAGCTGCTGTCAGATGGATCTTGGCTCAAGGCAAAGAATACCAGAAAGATGCTTACTTGTTGACTATGCAAAGGCATTTGATTATGTGGATCATAACAAATTGTGGATAACATCGAGAAGAATGGAAATTCCAGAACACTTAATTGTACTCATGACAAACCTGTACATAGACTAGGAGGCTGTCATTCAAACAGAACAAGGCAACACTGCATGGTTTGAAATCAAGAAGGGAGCATGTCAGGGTTATACCCTTTCCCATACTTATTCAATCTATATGCTGAGCAAATAATCCAAGAAGCTGGACTATATGAAGAAGAATGTGGCACCAAGATTGGAGGAAGAATCATTAACAACCTGCGATACACTGACGACACAACTTTGCTTGCTGAAAGTGAGGATGACTTGAGGCACTTACTGATGAAAACTGAAGAACACAGTCTGCAGTATGGATTACATCTCAACATAAAGAAAACAAAAATCCTCACAACTGGACCTATAAGCAGCATCATGATAAATGAAGAAAAGATTGAAGTTGTCAAAGACTTCACATTGCTTGATTCTACAACTGACACCAATGGAAGCAGCAGTCAGGACATCAGATAGTGTATAGCACCGGGCAAATCAGCTACAAAGGACCACTTTCAAGTGCTGAGGAGCAAAGATGTCTCCTTGAGGACTAAGGCGCACCTGACACAAGCCATATTTTCAATTGCCTCATATGCATGTGAGAGATGGACAATGAATAAGGAAGACCAAAGAAGAATTGATACTTTTGAGTTGTGGTGCTGGTGAAAAATGCTGAAAGTGCTATGGACTGCTAAAAGGACTAACAAATCTGTCCTGAAGGAAGTATAGCCGAAATGTTCCTTAGAAGCGAGAATGGCCAGACTTCATCTCACCTACTTTGGTCATGTCAGAAGGGACCATTCCCTGGAGAAGGATGTCATGCTTGGTAATTTGGAAGGTCGACTAAAGAAGGGAAGGCCCTCAACGAGATGGATTGACACAGTGGCTGCAATGATGGGCTCAAGTATGGCGAGGATCATGGAGGTGGCGCAGGACTGGGTGGTGTTTCGTTCTGCTGTGCATAGAGTCGCTATGAGTTGGAGACAACTTGATGGCACCTAACAACAACAACATCTGGTATAAGCCCTTGAGTATTAATTACTGAACTTACCAAAATTGCAGTCTTCCTCCCCAACTGTCTGTGTTACCATTATCTTTAATATTAGGTTCTTTGTCTTGGTTTCTTTCCCTGTTTGAGGTTCCAATATTAGAGACTTGAATCTTAGCCCATTTTGTTAGAGATCCGACAATTTATCTAGATCTTGCCACCCTTCCCTGAGGAATCAGCACCCTGTTGTTTCTGCATCTGTTAGTCACTACAGTTCAAATCCAAACAGAATGATCATTCTCAATCATAACACTATCAACTTGAAGTATGTAAATAATTCCATATCCTTTTATTAGTCTAGTTTTCTTAGGGAACACAGAATCTGAATCAACATGGACTGCCAATCACTGATGGAGGATAGTTCTGAATGCATCTCATGTTTCAATAAAACTATACAGACATTCCCTGGATTACGAACAGGTTCCATTTCTAAGCCTGTATTTAAGCTGAATTTGCACATAAGCTGGAACAGTTAGGTAGAGTTTGTATCTAACATCACTCAAATGTTTGTTTTAATATATAGTGTACCTTTCTTTTCATAAAGAACATTAAAGAAACACTTTCAGATGTACTACATCTTTAACATAATAATACAATAATGTTTTGATGTGCATCACAAAGTAGTGTTCATTTGTTATTATGAACCATTGTTAATTTTTAATATAATAGGCTTTATAGAGGTTAGTTCATAACTATGTATGTAAGTCAGATGTTCATTACCCTAGGACTGCCTCTATATGATATCTTGGCCAAAACTTCTCTGCTTTATAAGAATGTTAGATTTTAGTGAAAATAGTTTTTAGATGACACTTTAATCCCATCATAGTAAATCCTAATTCAAGAAATTTTCTAAATTCGCAAAACAAAAATTAACATTCAATTTAAATAATAACATGCTTCTTTTTTTTTCTTTTTAAAGGGGACAAAAATAGAAGGAAATGATGTCTCAAATCACAAAAAAAAGTAACGAATTGTTGTAGACTCTATTTGGAGAAAGGTTTTTCAGAAAACAAAGCTCAGTCTTACTTGATGTATTTATTAAGTAGGGAGAGGAGGAAATTAAGCCCAGCACACAATTTTGGGAGGAGAGTGAAAACAAACAGATTACCTTTATAAAGTGGTGATCTGCACGTGGGATTGTTGAATCTCTGGGCTTGGTCAAAATATACTGGTTATTTTGGGAGTCAATTAGCATACTAAGACCTAAATCATCTTCTACTTCTCGTTTTGTTATATTTTGTTTGGAATTGGCTTCCTCTTCTTCCACCCTGAGAACTGCCTCAAAATTGACTCCTTTTACCTGTAAAAATATACCAATACTATGTAATTAAAATCAACGAAATGTTTTCAAATTCTTTTTTAAGAAAGTAAATTCTATACAGAAGAATGATACCAAAAGATGTACCAAAAGATTAATAAATGTCCATTAGCATGAATTACGAAAGTTTTAATTTAAAAAGTAATTTAAGGATAGGAATGTTTAGGATTTCTATTATTTCCAATCATCTACTTTACTTGATCTAAGGCATAGTCTTTTGAAAATTCATAGCCTTTAAGATGTTTATGAGTTTTTCCTCATTTCATAATTGGTAACTTTTTAAAACATTACATTCTTTTCACTTTATTTTTATTCTCCTCCTTTTCTTCTCTAATGTTATTCTGATTTGCTTTCACTATCTAAGACTTAAATGATTCCATACTGAGAGGTATGGTCAATTTTTAGCATCAGGTTCAATTTTTTCCTTAGAATCTTGAACATATATTATGACAAGTAGCCTGAAATCTTGCTTTAGGTATGAAGATCACTTCCTGTAAAGAGCTTATTTTTTCCCAAGTAGATCCACATTAAAGCTCACTTGCCAAGTGCAAATTGTCTTGAGACCACAATACCAATACAGCTGAGTGGCAAAACTGGAGAACGGAGACTAGACACTGATGAGCGGCAACTACTATAGTTAAAATATGAAAAGAAAAAAAAGAATAACTAGTTTATTTCTGGAATCCCTGAGTGTTGAAAATAGTTAATGTGCTCAGCTGCAAAGCAAAAAGTTGAAGGTTGGAATCCACCAGAGGTGCCTCAAAAGAAAAACTTGGCCATCTGCTTCTGAAAAATTGGCCACTGAAAAACCTCTGGAGCACAGTTCTGCTCTGATACACACGGGGTGGCCAAGAATCCAAATAGACTCAATGGCAACACCTTTTTTTTAGTTTATTTCTGCAAGATGAAATCAAATTATTTTGTATATGACACAGAAGTGTTTTAGTTTGACCTCGTCTTTTAATATATACTAAAAACAATTTCAACAATACATCCTTTCATCGAGTAAGTAGTTCAATATGTGAACTGGAAATTGTTCTGAGATACTACTTACTGATTTGTTGTCATCAAAAGCATGTTCTTCTATCTCCTCCTCTAAACGATCTGCTGCCTTTCTTACATCTTCAAGAATTTCATCAAGCATGGATAAACTTTTGTTTTGATGCTGCATATTTTTAAGGGCTTCAACTTGATGTTTTTCTGCTGCCAAAAGTTCTACATACTCTGTCTCTTCCTATTCATTTGTAAGGAATGAAAAGTGAGATTTATTAAGAAATAAATCAGGATATCTTTTAATTTATTTATTAAGAAATAAATCAGGATATTTCTTGTATCAATTTTAGGTACCTGGTCTGAATGAATAAAATCAACCTATTCTCTATGTCAAATATTCCTTTCCATATATAGAATTATAACCCTGGTCAATTAGGGAAGATTGTGTTTCCTAGATTATTCAGATATAACTGAATTTAGCAAAGTGTTTAGGGAAACTGTTTCTATATGCACATCAAAAAATGTAATTTTAACTGCTCTAAATAAAATTTTATTATTTCTGAAGGTTATCTATTCATATAAAAATGATTTATTGGACACTGATGACACTCCAGATACTGTGCCTACTATGTATGTGAAGTATAGTGGTACTCTAAAAATGGCTGTGATGCTGCTACTATCTATAAATTTGTAAGTAGAATACACATCGTCAAATCCCAAGTTACAAAGGGAAAATTGTTCCAGAAATATGTAATTATTTGAGAAACTGACAGATGTAGCTGGTAATGTAATTTTAGTAAATATATTTTTTACAATCACATTTAAATGCCAAACATCTTAATCAAATTATTAGCCCTACTTTAAAAATATGTATTCACATTTAAACAGGACAGAGAAGTAGGAGGATAGTACTTAGAAACAAACATTGCCTATTTAATGGATCTTTAGCGGTAACCAGGGTACCAATCAACACCATCTCAATGCCTTCTAACAATGCTGATGTCTGGAGTTAGGAGGCAAGAAATACTGTAAACAGCCACTGTTGTTGTTGTTGTTATGTGCCATGGAGTCGAACCCGACTCATAACAACCCCTCCTTGGGTTTCTGAGGCAGTATCACTATGAGAGTAGATTGCCCCATCTTCCTTCTGAGGAGTGGCTGGTGGGTTTGAACCGCCAGCCTTCTGATTAGCAGTCAAGTGCCTTAGGCACTACGCTACCAGAGTTCACGTAAGCAGCCATACTGTTAAAAATTTATAAAGCATGTATACTTAAATCAATGTTACTCAAACTCATACAGTGTTTTCCATTTTATAATGAAACCTTACAACAAATCTAGATCCTCATAAGCACCCTTATTTAAAATGGAAGAGTTAATGTCTCAGTTGTCAAAAAGATCTCATCAGACAATAATATCTATTCAAAGGATAGTATCATGGTTTCTTTCTAATGCAATATACAATTACAGGAATTCACACTTAGAAAATAAGCAAGATAACTGAATGAAGGATACTGGAAACCCTGGCTCCTCCATTTGTCTGATTACCATAATTCTACCAAAAAAATACCATACTTTGGTAAAGAAAGTTTAGTAAGTCTACATTTTTCTATACTTTTCAAGCTGTGTAATAAATCAATAGACATTTCTATTAGGATGAAATAATATTTTATGTACATAAGGCACTTGGCATGATGTCTGGCACATAATAAATGCAAAAAAACAAACCCAATGCTACTGAGCCAATTCCAACTCATAGCAACCCTATAGGTCACAGAAGTACTGCTCCATAGGGTTTTCAAGGGAGCTTTATGGAAGCAGACTACCTCGTCTTGCTCCCACAGAGCAGCTGGGGGGTTGGAATTGCCAACCTTTTGGTTAGCAACAGAATGCTTTAACCATTGTGCCACCAGAGGTTCTTAGCACATAATAGGTATTCAAGAAATCATGACTTAAATAAGTAATATCAAATCTAATACAGTAAGTTTCTTCTCATCCCTTTAAAAATGTAGTATTTGGTCAAAATCCTTAATTCAAATGTATACATTTGTTAAAAACTGAATTTTAACATTTTTGTTAACCGTACGTAGACTTTGAAGAAAGTCAAACTTCACAAGAGATATTCTTGTCAGAAATACAGTAAAATGCTGACTGCAGTTACATTTTTATTTCTTTCCACATCAGTATATTAGTATAACTAGAGTAATCTTTACTATATAGTTAAACTAATAAACTGATGTGGAAAGAAATAAAAATGTAACTGCAGTCAGCATTTTATTAGTATAAGTAGAGTAACCTTCTCTGGTGATGCAGTGCCTAAGGCATTAGACTACTAACTATAAAGTTGCCGGTTCAAACCCACCAGCCACTCCACGGAAGGAAGACTGGACAATCTACTTCCGTAAAGATTTACTGCCTCAGAAACCCCAAAGTGAGTGGCTATGAGTAGGAATAGACTTGATGGAACTGAGTTTGGTGTCTTTTTGTAAAGTAATCTTTGAATTACCTAGGAATTTCCACAATAGAAAAAGCATTAGATATTAAATCCTTCTGTAAGTGATAAAATACAACTATACTAAGATATGCAAAATCAAAAAGATTCTATTCCACGTGAGATGTACTCTGTATTTTACTAAGAACAGACACCTTGACGGAACATATCTCCTGAAACATTAGTACTTTGTACATTTTCCCTTTATCTGTATTTTCTACATTCAGAGTATAAAGTACTTTTTTATTTTGATAAATGAAAGTTTGCACTTGGTAAAATGTGAAAGAACTAACCTTTATTGCAGCTTCTCTCAAAGCCTCCAATCGCTGCCTGCTACTTTCTTTCATGTTTACAACATCTTTGTAATCTCCCTGCAGAGCTCGGTGGAGTCCATGGATAGCCTGAAAGACTGAATTTTCACTTTCATTCAGCTCTTTTTGAAAAATCTCAAATGTGTGCACCTGAAACAATTTCTCTTCATCCGAGAGTCCATCATCTTTTTCCACTGCTCTGATTGCATTTTTCAGTTTGTTAAGAACCACATTCTTTTGGCGAAGAAGCCCAGACAGCTTTCTACAATTATCAAGGACCCACTGTCTTCTCTGAGTAATAGCGGCTCCTTTTCCTCGATGTAACTTAATTGCATGCTTTGCTACTTCTTCATGTTCTGCAGCATGTGCTATCAAATGAAGTAATGAAAGCAATATCCAGAGATAATTTTTCTCTAATAACTTCATGATCCACATATAGAAGACAGGGCAAGGCAGTCCAAAGATTTCTGCTATGCTGAAGGTGCATTTTAGAAACACATTTTCAGCTGAAAAACAGATTCATCACCATATAAAGTTGAATAATGATTTATTACTATTGAGATCAGAACTAAATTACTCAATAATTATATCCAGAAAACTGCCACTTTTCTGAAGAAAATGTTATTTTTCCTAGATAGAAATTATCATCTAAATTATTTATTGAACATAGATTAAAGTCAAATATTGAATGTTAACATGCTTCTATGGTACCTGGTAAAGGTTGAGACAAAAGGTTAGTTACATCTGAATTTAAAAACAATTTTTTAAAGAAAAACTCAGCATCTTACATCTATTAAATCTACTATGTATAAATGACTGTCATGCCTATGACAAAAACCAATTCTATTCAACTAAAACCAAACCCACTGCCATTGAGTCAATTCCGATGGATAGCGACCCTAAAGGACAACATAGAACTGCCCCATAGGATTTCCAATACTGTAAACCTTTAAGAAGCTGACTGCCACATCTTTCTCCTGTAATTCAACCTAAGAGGGGTGATATATCAATAGGAGGAGCCCCAGTGGCACAGTGGTTAAGTGCTTGGTTGCTAACTGAAAGGTTTGGTGATTCGAACCCACCAGCCACTCCATGGGAGAAAGATGTGGCAGTCTCCTTCTGTAAAGATTTACAGCCTTGGAAACCATAAGGGGCAGTTTTACTTTGTCCTGCTGTGTCGATATAGTTGGAATCAACTTGATGGCAGCGAGTCTGGTTTTTGGTTTATATATCAATGGCAAGAAAATACCATAACCTTTCTCTATCACAGATCAGTGAACCAATGAGAAGAAAATATGCCACTAGGGATTGATACACACTATCATTTCAGAGATGAAGTCTTTTGAGCTACTATCAGCTTGCTCTACCAATCTGTTTGTATTCTGCTCAATTTTCTGGTTAAAAGGTATGGTGGTTATGTTTGTGTGTCAACTTGGCTGGGCCTGGTTGAGTGGCTGGGCAGCTGGTGGCAGTTATTCCCCATGATCAGACTGGCAATCAACTCCATGGTGGGATCTACCACAAGCAGCAGAGTAGCTGTTTTGGGTATGTGGTCTGCTTCCCATATATAAAGCAGCAGCTTTGGGAATGGTCTCTACTTTATGGCATACTTGAACCCTGCATGTAGCCGTGTCATTGTGCAGCAGCCTGCCACGCTCTGCCGACCTTGGGACTTACAATGGACTTGAGTTAATGCCCTGCCATGTGGTCTGGTAACATCAGGACTCTGCCATTTTATTTGTCCACCTTGGGCTTGTTAGCCTCAGCAGCCAGTACTGTCTGAGTGAAGAAAAGCCTCTAGCTTCAGTGGGCCGGAAGCAAGAGGCAGAGCTGAAGCCCAAGGTCAAGGGGTTTTCACACAGCCCCTAGAGCCTGGCACTTTGAACTCGGACTTGTAGCTTCCAGAACTATAAGAGAATAAACTCCTGTTTGTTAAGGCCATCCCATTTGTGGTATTTTCTTGTCAGAGTGGAACTAAGTATCTAGAACAAAAGGTCGTGAAAGTGTTCAATTTTTATACATTTTTAGATACTCTGGCTCCTACAGGGATAAGCTAATATAATATAAGAATTCACTTACCTAGAAAAGTTCATTTCCTAACAAGGTAGAATAAATGAGAATGTACTGTTTGAAATCACTAAATTTTATGTTAACAGTTTCAGTACACTTTAAATACATGTGTTACCACCTTAAAAATAAATAAATGACTAACCATTCAGTGATACCTAGCAGTACAGTTGACCTGTTATTTTAATGACTCATTCAGTTGCTACCTTATTGTTCCAAGACAACATTTAATTGCTACTGCAGAATTATGCACTTTCATATTTTCCAGAGCCATGACAGAAATTTGAGATGCTTCAGTTATGCTCTTTTACCCAAAAGATCTCAAAAAGTAATTCTTTCATGGATTTCATGCATCAGAGAAACCTAGCTTGTATGTGAACAATTCTCTTCATTCATTTCTGATTCCAGGTTCCTGATATTACAGTTATCCCTCTATCTCATAACATCTACGGGAGCTATTAAATTTTATAAGAAATCTTTGAAGTATATTGTAGTTATACTAATTTTTTTCCACTAAAATGTATTTATAGAATGAAAAAGAAATTAAAATTTTCTTTATAGATCCTTAAAATAAGAATCACTCTTTTTCATAAACTCTATGTTCACTTCATTTTATCTTCAAACTTGGCTATAAAATACTACAGAATATTAAAATTATAGCATGTTTTTTCCTGAGTAAATCAGTAAATATTTTTAGCAGTGTTAGTTATTATTGTCTTTAATTATTAGAACAACCCTTTGGATTTGTTATAATTAATTCTAAAAATTTCTGTGTATTGAACAATTTATATACACACCAACCTAGATGGATTTCAAGATAATCACACTGAGTGAAAAGCAAATCTTAAAATGTTACTAATGCATGGTTCTATTTTTATTATATCCTTGAAATGACGAATTATATAGATGAAAAACAGATTAATAGTTGCCAGGGGTTAGGAAATGAGGTGGGAAATAGATGGCTGTGGCTATAAAATGTAGCAAGATGGATCCTTGCGGTGAGGAACTGGTCTGTATCCAGACTATGGTGGTGGTCACACAAATACACTTGTGATACAATTGCACAGATCTAAACATATACACACAAAATGAGTACATGTAAAACTGGTGAAATCTAAATAAGGTTGTAAGATGTATCAATGTCAATTTTCTAGTTTTTCTATAATATTTATACACCCATGCCTCACTTATCAACATGGTCAGGTTCCAAAGACCAGGTTGTATGAAAACTGGCATTTTGTAAAAATGGAGGATGACTACTTCAGATCATAAAATGGAGGATAATTATATAATTACAGAACTGCCCAATTATATCATTAAATAACTGCCAAACCACTGAGAATCATGGCCCAGACAAGTTAACACATAACCTTAAATATCAGAGCCATCTGTTGTTACTCTCACCTTGTACCAAGATTCCTTACCACCAGATATGTATGACATTAATGTACAAATTAGTTGGATAGATTTTTTTTTTACTATTGTTACAAATACCAAATATCAAATAATGAGATAATCAATAAGTAAGGAGTAGGTGGAGTTTTACAAGATATTACCATTGGTGAAACTAGGTAAAGAGCATTCAAGATATTACCATTGGTGAAACTAGGTAAAGAGCATTTGGGATCTCTCTGTGTTATTTCTTACAACTTCGTCTGAAATCTACAATCATCTCAAAACAAAACGTTTTTTAAAATTCCATAGTGCCTAAGGCATTTGACTGCTAACCAGAAGGCTGGCAGTTCAAACCCATCAGCTACTCCTGGAAAGGAAGACTGGGCATTCTACTTCCATAGTGATACTGCCTTGGAAACCCAAGGAGGGGTCGCCATGAGTCGGATCTGACTTGAGGGCAATGGGTTTGGGTGGTAGGCTATGTCACAGTTTACCATAGCTCACTGAACAGCTCATGTACAGTGTGGCTGCCCCTGGTCCATTCTGGTGAATCCATGCCAGTGTGTTTATGTTCCTTGGTTGTGTGTATAGGGGTATCGACCTGGTATGAAATTTGGCCTGCCTGGGACTATGGGCAGGGAAATTCCAATAGAAAATAGTATAACTGTGGCAGGAACATGGTGTAGTGCCTAAGGCATGTGACTGCTAACCAGAGGGCTGGCGGTTGGAACCCACCAGCCACTCCTCAGAAGGAAGATTGGGCAACCAACTTCCATAGAGATACTGCCTTGGAAACCCAAAGAGGGGTCGCTATGAGTTGGAGCCAACTCAACAACAATGGGTTTGGTTATTTTGGTTTTAAAGTTATTCAGCTTCCCATGAAACATGGAAATGATAAGGATCTTTTGTAGTAAATAGTTTAATATTATAATTACTTCAGGACATCATCAAAACTTCTAAGTTCAGAATAACACAGTGACTAAGTAGGCAATAAAGGAAAAAATTGTGAAAAATCCTTAGGAACCTTTAAAATAAACAGGGTAGGAAACTCTTCAGAAGAAATTTTTTACCTAAATCCATCTTTTGGAGGATTTAACAAGCATATTTTAAATTAACAAAGCAAACAATGCATTTAAAAAAAAAAAAGATTAAAGCCCTTATAATACTGTAGATTGTCAAAATAATTTATGATTGTCAAAAAATAAAGTATATGATTCAGATACTATATTATTCATATCTAATTAGTAAAATAATTGGAGAACTAGTTAAGAAAGGAGAGAAGAGAAAAAGAAACTCTAATAGACATTACAAAGTTTCATGGTTTTCAATGTTAAACCTCCAGAAAAACAAAAATTTCATCAAGTAATCCAATCATTGAAACATTACTTTTTAAAAAATGGGTGATATAAAACAAATTTGGAACAACAATTAGACATATTGCCTCAGAGATCAGAAACACATAAACACAAAAAAAACTGAGTAGTGACATGATTTAAAAATCTGTGAAGCCTGGAGTCTTTAACAGTGTCCCAAAAGGATGCTTTAAATAGCCATTACATGAGCACATCAGGTGATATCCAAAGTTATAAACCAAAAAAACCACTCACTGTCATGGAGTCGGATCGACTTATAGCAAACCCTCCTTGGATTTCCGAGGCAGTATCACTACAGAGGTAGATCGCCAAACTTTCCTTCTGAGGAGTGGTTGTTGGGTTTGAACCACTAGCCTTCTAGTTAGTAGTCAAATGCCTTATGCATGATGCCATCAGAGCTCCTATCCAAAGTTATATACATGGAATAAATCAATGAAAAGAACCGGAAGCAGCCAAAAGAGATTAGATAAGGTATCTAACATCCCATTTACTTTGTTGTTGTTGTTATGTGCCATGGAGTCGAACCCAAACCCCGACTCACAGCGACCCCTCTTTGGGTTTCCAAGGCAGTATCACTACGGAAGTAGATTG